CAAGGAGGGCTTGAGAAACAAAATACAGGAGTATACGAGGAGAACTGGGAGTGAGGAAAACCAATCTCCTGAATATATTAACCCTAATTTATAAAAACACTGAATATATTATCTCTGTGTTGAAGAGTCTGGAAATGTAAGTTTCATAAAATGCCATTTAAATGTTTATCTTATATATTAACCTAGTTGATAACCAACATGGACATCTGTCTACCTAATTACCACAATAGCCTCAAATCAGCAACAGCAAAATGAATTATACTATCAGTGGTGTTAAACATTTGATATTATACTTCTTAATCTCAGTCTGAACCTCATAAGAAAATGTTTGAAGTAGTATTACATCCTTTCTGAAAAGAAGGAAATGAAAGCAAAAATTAGGATAGCTCAATCAAGTCAATTGGTTAAAAATAGCAGGATTCAGGTTTCAATTGGTTCACAGGGATTCAAAAATGTCATTTACCTCTATCTCCTCTTAAAATGTTTCCAAGCTAGAGGAAGAAATCCTGGAGGGGTAAATTTAGATTCTACTACCTCATCCATGTAAGCCTCCAAAAACAACATCATTACAGCAGCACCTAAGATCTCTAAGTATCATAAAATTATAACACTAGTAAAATATCAATCAGAAGATTGAAAAATATAAGACCAAATTAACTTTCAGCAGTCAAGTTTTAAACAGGATATCTTTATCATTTTCCTAAAACTTTCTAAAATCTATTCATAATACATTACCATTTTCCTGATAATTGAGAAAACTGTATTAGTTCACAGCCTAACTCTTCAGAGTAGGTGTAAAAAAATAGACAAAATACATAATAACACAGATCTATATCAAATATCCTGCCTCAGAGTGACCACAGAAGTTATTTTTAAAATAAATCATAAAATCCCAGTACTTTAAAACATCAAGTTGTATAGCAAATGAGAGATAATCTATCTGACCTTATAATTTTACAACCAAATAAAAAGCCAGCCAAAGAACTTCTGTCTAAAAAAATACAGAAGCAGAATCTGATACAGGGAGAACAAAGAAGCAGAAAGAACATATATTCAAAGGTTTCTAGATCATCAATAACAATACAACTATTATGATTTGAATGTGTCCCCCAAAGTTCAGGTGTTAAAAATTTAATCATCAATGCAACATTATTGGGAGGTGGATTTTAACAAGAGGTAATAAGTCCTTTGCCCTCATTAATGAACTAATGTCATTATCCTGAAAGTGGGTTTGTTATCAGAGTAGATTTGTTATAAAAGTCATTTGACCCCCCCCCCACTTGCTTTTACATGCTTCTTTTTCTTTCTTTCTTCCCAAAATTCCCTATTTACCTCTCTTCCTCCCTCTTTCCCTTGCTCTCCAGCCTTCTGTCACGGGATGACAGACACAACTCACCAGACAATACTATGCTCTTGAATTTCCTAGTCTCTGAACTATAAGACAAATAAATCTGTTCTTTATGAACTACCCAGTATCAGGTATTCTGTTACAGTAGCAGAAAATGCACTAAGACAATGCCGTATCTAATCTGACTTAAAAATAGCTTTGTCACAAGTACTACACAGAAATGATATAAAAGCTATCATTAGAAAGGAGACACATGCATGCAACATGCTAGACTCTTTCCAATAGTTGAATTCCTTAAATCTGTTTCTAGACTCTACATGAGTTTAGAGCAAACACAAAATATACACGTGGGTGCAAGGCATTTGTAGCACTAAAAAATGAGAGGATTCTACATGTAAGTTCTCAAATCTGTGCTTCACCACAATTCATTTGCATCTTAAAATTTCAAATCATCTTCACTTTCCATGTGATAAAACTTCTCCCTCTGTTGAACACAGGAATCATTCCCATATTCTAAAGTTCATCGTATTTAATCAGGGCCACAAGTAAGAATATTCAAATATCTTGCTACTTCATAAAAAATGGCAAATTCATTCTGTAGCCTTCTAGACATAATATTTCAAATGACTTGAAAAGGAAATTTTCCCATTAAGAACACCTAAAGGACAAAAATTTAAAATGAAGCATAAACCATATAAGCATAAACTATATAAGCATTATATCTTCATAGTTACAGAAGGAAACAAAAGCTGTGTCACTGAAATACACAAAGACAATACTGCCATCTAAAGGCCAAGATATAATATGAAAAGATGTGGACTCAGTCAAAAACTGCCAAGATATGTAAAAACCAAACAACCTGTTAATTCAATTCATCAAACTTTATACTTTACAAAAACTACTCTATGATTATTTTTAGACTTTTTTAAATTCAATTTACTAAGAGAATTAGCAAAACAATTTGGCTAATTATGAATACTTGTTAAAGCACAGGTCAGGTTCTAATGATATCCTTTCAGACACAGTGTTTTTAGTAAGTACCTCAATTACTTGCTAGTATAAAATATTCTTAAATGATAAATAATACGTATCAAAATGAAAAGTGCCAAACTACTTTAAATTGTAGCTTTGCAAGTAATTTAAATATTTCTTTTTTTAAAATATGTTTTTAGTTGTATTTGGACACAATACCTTTATTTTATTTATTTTTATGTGGTGCTGAGGATCGAACCCAGTGCGTCACACGTGTTAGGCGAGAACTGTACCGCTGAGCCACAACCACAGCCCAAATATTTCTCTTTATTTCATAAATTTTAAAAATAAAGAGTAAAGCTCCTATAAGGGTTTAGTTATCAATAACTAGTTATTAATAGAATTTAATTTATTCTAAACTTCCCTACGAATCTAAAATGGGAAAAATTTTTATTGAATTTACCTTTCCTTAGGATTTTTCAAAATTACTTCAAATTTCCAATAAAAATGTTTAATGAATAAAACTAAATATAGAAATGATTTCTTTAGGATTTAACCATACATCATCTTTTTAATGCACCATAATATCAGGGGAAAATAAATGTGAAAATAAAGTAGAACCTTTAACCATACACATAAACAGCTGCTTTCATTAAGAACCATTGGCTAAAAGTTTCTTTCAGGGCTTGGGTTGTCACTCAGGAGTTTGATCCTCAGTACCACATAAAAGAAATAAATAATTAAAGTTATACTTTTAAAAAAGGTTTCTTACAACACCAATAAAGATATTACTCTGTGTTTAAACAACAAAAAAACAAATATTAGTCGAAATCAATAAATATCCTATTACTTAAGTTGGGATTACTATTCTTTAATTTCTCTTGAGTATAAAGTAGAAATGAACAGTTTAGTAATTTTAGTTATGGTATTATAAAAACTACTATATGTTTAATATCACATGGTTCAGAGTTTATACAAAGGAATTTGGAGATGTCATTTAATTCTCAAAACTACAACTCATCAAAAGACAAATATCACAGCACCAGTTACAAATAAGGTTTAAAGACCTTAAAGTTCTCCCAGGGTCATGATACAGGTGGATAAATAATCAAAAGTTCAAAATTCAGTCTCTGACCCATAAGACTTAATTCTCCTTACGAGTCATACAGCCTCAAATGATTACATTTATATTAAATGTAAGGAGGAGCATGAATTTTTTTACCTTTTTTTTTTTTTGTACCCGGGACTGAACTCTGCCACTGAGCCACATCCCCAGCCCTATTTTGTATTTTATTTAAAGACAGGGTCTCACCAAGTTGCTTAGCATCTTGCTTTTGCTAAGGCTGGCTTTGAACTCATAATCCTCCTGCCTCAGCCTCCCAAGCCACTGGGATTACAGGTGTGCGCCACCATACCCAGCTGTGAACTATTTGTACTACATATTGCCAGGGGAAAAAAATATTCTATATAGAAGAAAAAAAGCATTTATTTTCAGTTTATAAATGTTTCAAGTTTTCTAAAATCTTTAATAATAGTATTATCCCACTGAAGTGCTAATGCTTCAAGAAACCTTTCAAATTTAAGTTTATATATGAGATGTATTTATTAAATATCAGTTTTATAAACTGACTCAAAGGGACAAGAAAAAGACCTCCATATTTTTGAGATGCAATTTTTTTAAAGATTTTATAGATTTGCTATTTCAGTTTAACCTGCAAACATTTTCCATTAGACTATTTTTTTCTTTTCTTTTTTTTTTTCATTAGACTATTTTTCAATGTTGAGAAGTCCTAAGTACCTCCCAGGTGACAATTTTTTTCGGTTAATTTGTACAATATACCTACTAAATTAAAATTAAATGGTTTGGAATGTTATTTGGACATAAAAAAAAAAGAAAGAAGCTATGATACAGGCTGCATGAGTAAATGTTGAAAATATCCATGTAAAATAAGCCAGATACAGAAGACCACATATTGTGTGATTCTATTTATATGAAATGTCTAGGCAAATTTATAAAAACAAAGTAGATTAGCAGTTGCCTGCTCTAGAGGAAGGTACTAATAGGCACAGTGTTCTTTTAAAGATAATGAAAATGTTCTACAATTAGTTAGTGATGACTACACAATTTTGTAAATAAAAAAAAAAACAATGAATTATATATTGTAAAACGGTAAATCTTGGAATAAATGAATTATGTCTCAATAAAATAAAATTGAATGACTTTAAATAAATACATTAAATGTGTCTGACTATATGTGTATGTTCTTAAAATATAAAATTTATGCAATTATCAATTTACTGAATCCCATTTTCACCATAGTAAGTAAAAAGTTCTATTTCACAAATGTACACTTTTCTAGGGATTAAAAAAAATCTCAACTCTCTAGAGTTATTATGATTCCTAGGGGAATCAAAAGGAACCACAACCACAGGCATATTTGGCCGATAAATTTTATATATTCCAATTTACCTGAGTTAGTTCACTCTCAGAATTTAGAAAAGACACATCATGTTAAGTATCTAATAAGTTAAATGACCAATTTATAAAAATTATCAGTTTGAGAGGATTTTACTTTTACTTATTTGCCTCTCAATTACCAAAAGAAAATACATACATAAAATTATAAATGAAGTTTAAAGAATTCAAATGTTAGAAACAAAATTGAAAACAGGTACTTACTAATTTGTTTTCCTGCATGTATATTCTTTGTAGTTTCAGACAGCCCTTAGCTATGACGATCATGCCTTCATCTGAGATCTTGTAACACTGGCCAAAATGAATATCTTTGAGTTCTCTGCATTTTGACCCCAGCTGTAAACAAAGAAATTTGGGTAAATGCTCATAAAATAATGAGGATAACATATTTCTAGTGGGACTTTCATATAATATTTGAATATAATCACACTATAATTAAAGGGTTATTTATAAATTACTTTTAAAACAAGAATGCAACCAATTGATAACTTTCAACAGGTGTAAAAAAAATTGTAAAAGTTTTTACCTTTTAACCTCGTTCCCTACTTCAACTACTTCACACTACATGTCAAACAAGGTACCTAGATTCCTTAACAGTTGAAATTCACATCTTTATTTCTCCTGAGTCTTATTAGTAGGGAGCAACATAAAGGTATAAAATTATGATGTTTCTGTAAAGTTGAATATTAAACAGCAATTAAAACTGGAGTAAGGGCTGGGGATGTGGCTCAAGCAGTAGCACGGTCGCCTGGCATGCGTGCGGCCCGGGGTTCGACTCTCAGCACCACATACAAAGATGTTGTATCTGCCGAAAACTAAAAAAAATAAATAAAAATTCTCTCTCTCTTAAAAAAAAAAAAACTGGAATAAGCTTTTGATTGATTTTATATATGAGTTTTTAGAACATAATCCAATTTTACAAAGAAATGTTTTGTTTTTGTTTTGCAGTGCCAGGGATAGAGCCCAGGGAGGGCCTAATGCATGCTATAAACATTTCAAATGTATATTTACATGCTCATGCACATATACATAAGAAAAGAAACCAAAATGTATACAATGTATTAACCAAGGTTATTTTTTATTAGTGACTGGGGATTTTTTCCCTTTCTGCCTATGAATCTTCTCTAATTTTTTAAACTCACATTTTTCTAAGTAAAAAAAGCTTTAAAGTTCTATTTCAAGTAATGATATTAGAAGGATATGCAAGTTATTTTTCTAAGGGTGGTAAGACATACAAATGATGTTATCTACATTAGGCTATACTCTATCCAGTTATATATTCCTTTAGATATGTAAACTCCATGAAGCAGGATGGCTTGGGTTAAATAATATATCTCTAGTTTCCAATGTTTTACACTAACTCAATACTTAATATTTGTTGAATGTATGAAAATGTTGATCAGGGTTGTGCATATAAAGAAGCCTCTTTAATTTTTTTCTTCCCCAGTGATGGAGATGAAACTTGTATGCCAAGTAAGTGCTCAAACACTGAGCTAGAACCCCAGCCCAAGAAGCCTCTTTAAAAGGGACAAATATGAGCTGGGGTTGTGGCTCAGTGGTAGAGCTCTCATCACGCATATGTGAGGCACTGGGTTCTCAACACCACATAAATAAATAAAATAAAGGTATTGTGTCCATCTACAACTAATTTTTTTTTAAAGGGACAAATACGGGAAACCATGATTGTGGACTTATATACCACTATTTCCTAGTTAATTGAGGAGTTCTAAACTGGGCCCATGGATAGAATTCGGTTTTCAAAAAAAGTGGACAATACATATTCTATTTCATACTATCCACTGACTTTATCTTTTCCTTCACCTAATATAAGCAAAACATCAAACAGATGGGCACAGTGGCACATGCCTATAACTCCAGTAACTCAGGAGGCTGAGGCAGTAAGATCACAAATTCAAGGCCAGCCTCAAAATAAAGAGAGAATCCGAGTGGGGAGCTCAATGGTAAAGTATCCCTGGGTTCAATCCCTAGTACCACAAAAATAAAAAATAAAATTTTTTAAAAGACAGTAATTTAGCTGCACTTGTGAATTTGTAAACTACAGAAATTAAAGATAATTTCATATAACACTGCTATTGCAGATACCAAGAAAAATCATTTTTCTTCATTATTATTTATCATGTTCATTATTAGATAAGCTACCTCGGCTCTTATTTAATTCATTAAAAGAAGCACACATATTTATAAAACAAATGTATAATGGTGTATGATGCAAACCAGAGAAAGCGGAATCCAAAGCCTGTACTAGGAAAAGCAGAAAATCAAATACATTATGGAACTTTTTTTTTTTTTAAGTTGCACATGGACACAATATCTTTATTTTATTTATTTACATATAGTGTTGAGGATCGAACCCAGTGCCTCATATGTGCCAGGCAAGTACTTTACCACTGAGCTACAACCCAAGTATCATGGAATTTTCAACAGGTTCACATATTTCTGGCAGTGAGAGTGAGACTGGAAATTTAAAATACCAGGATTCTTAAAAGTATGATTAAGTAATAAACCATCAGATCACCACCATCATTCTACAATGAAAAAATACTAGAGTTCTCTGCAGGGAGTAAAATAAGGTTTTTAACTAGGGTGTGCATATATAGCTGAGAACAGAAATACATTGCTGAAAATGCAGGGACTGTGTGTATATTCATAATAGTAAAAATGGAGGAATTTAAAGAAATAATTCTAAATTAAAATTTCCAGAATGAAAGAATATGAACATCCAGATTGAAAGTTCCTCCACATCTCTAGCACAGATAAAGAAATAACAACTTAAATCCTAAGATTTTATAATTCTAGATTCTAGAGCCTTTCAGAGAAAAACAGACTTCACAGAAAGAATTTGGCTAAAAAAAAAAAAATACATCAAACTTCCCAACAACACTAAAAGTAAGCAAAAAAGCAATGCCACCAAATCTTGAAGGAAAATTCTTTATAATATAGAATTCTGTACTCATGATTCAGACCATGAATTAAGCCTGAAGGCTGAATTAGAGATATTTACTGACATAAGTTCTCAAAAGATTCATCTCCCGTATACTTTTTGTCATGATGCAATGTCTATGCTTTTAACAAAACATGAGATCACAGTAAAAGTTGACATGACATTTGGATAATAGTAGTTCTAATCCAATAACTAGATGAAAAAAACCTTAAGGATGCTAAGATGCTAAGATGAACACTAATGCAACAGCACCTACATATAAGAAGCCAAGACTAAAAACCTGCTATCTCAGACAAATCTGCTTTAAATAAGTAAATTTGATTAAGTATCAACAAGCAGAGAAAACTTTAAGCTCCATCAAGAATATAAAAATTAACTAAAGTTGCGGGGGGAAGGTTTATTAATTCCAAGGAAAACAAAATACTACAGGAAAAAAAAAAAGGTAGATAAACAATTGTAAAATGTGAATATAGAATACTTTTTTTTTTTTAGTGAGAGAGAGAGAGAGAGAGAATTTTTAATATTTATTTATTTATTTATTTTTAGTTCTTGGCGAACACAACATCTTTGTTTGTATGTGGTGCTGAGGATCGAACCTGGGCGGCACGCATGCCAGGTGAGCGCACTACCGCTTGAGCCACATCCCCAGCCCAAGAATACTTAATTTAACAAAAACTATAGTTGAATTATGTTGGAAGGATGAGAGGATAATAGAAGGATATATAAGAGAGCCAAATTTTTGTCTTCCATTGCAATAAATCACCTACCTAGCCAAAGTATGTTAATTATAAAATTGCAGGCAAACCTACTAGGAGAAAATATTTTCTGCTCCTAGAGGAAGTTCAATTAGTCTAATTCCTAGTCTCTCTACTGATTAGTTTGTATTTAATAAAGAAGAGACATTATGCTCATCACTATAATTCTTTCCTCTTAGGAACATACTTCCCATAGGGAATATCATCTTTACTTTTCTAATTGGGGCCATTGTGGTGGTCTGGCCTAGACAATTACTAAGTCAGTTGGCCAAACTCCAGAGTCAAATTTAACAAGCCCATTTAGCTCTAGTGCTAAGCAACATTCTTCACCTTAAAAGTTTCTGAGTAATAAAGTTGGTATATTTTCATCTATTACTATTTCTCTGTCATATTTCTCAATTCAATTAGATCCTGCATAGTAAAGGGCAGAACCCTTGACAAACATTTAGTGTACCAGCAAGAAACACTAAGAAAGAAAACAACAGAATTTTTTTACATAAGGAGTGATTAAGGTTTTGGGTGGAAATTTAGGCATCACGTTTTGCACAAGTTGATAGAACCTCAGGTTAAGAATATACATCCCATTACAACACAGAGAGAATGAGAATGAGATAATTATCTTAGGATAATTTCATGGTATACAGACACTTGAAAAATGGTTTTCGTGGCTTTATCCACTAAGAAATGACTTTTTTTTTTTTTTTTTTTGGTACCAGGGATTGAACTCAGGGGCACTCAACCACTGAGCCACATTCCCAGCCCTATTTTGTATTTTATTTAGAGACAGGGTCTCACTGAGTTGCTTAGTGCCTTGCCGTTGCTGAGGTTGGCTTTGAACTCGTAATCCTCCTATCTCAGCCTCCTGAGCTGGTGTGCACCACTGCGCCCAGCTAGGAAATGACTTTTCATAGAGGTAAGGGTCATGTGAGTAACCATACAAAGAAAAGGATTGACCACTGCAGACATTATCAGCACATGAGTTCTTGCTAGTAATTGAAGAATAACTCAGGAGACAAGCTATTATGACTCATTACTATTGAGTTTAAATGTCATTTTATCTCACTGCAGAAACTTTAATGTTCTATTTTAGACAACATCACCAGACAAAATAGGCAAGTCCCATCTGTACTAATTACCATAACCTCATCCATAAATAAATACTTTAAGTTCCAGACTATCCAGACAATGTAGTCAATCATTATACCCAGTGTATTTCCCAATTTTGCTGATATTCTTCAAATCTCATCTATACAAGACCCACAGAAAAATACTGGGGTTGGGCAGGGGTTGTATTTGTAGCTCAGTGGTAGAGCACTTGCCTCACACGTGTGAGGCACTGGGTTCGATCCTTAGCACCATATAAAAATAAAATAAATAAAGTTATTGTGTTCACTACAACTTTAAACAAAAGCAAAAACAAACAATGCAGAGGGTATCGACCAAACCCTAATAAGAGTATTAATGTTTGCATGCCCTGAATTCAACGTAATTAGCAGAATTAGCATATGACTCTACTAAATACAAAATTCTTCATTCAGGAAGAATGCTAGAATAAGAGCACTGATCTTGCCAAAGGGAGAAAGCTTGATAAGAGCCCTGGGATCCAGCTGAACCACCAA